AAAACCACAAAGACAGTATTTGGTCACATGGATCTTTGCATAAAAGACAGGGAATTGTGTCTGAATAGCCCTGACTCGTAAAGCTCCTTCCAATGCCTTTTTCAGTGTCAGAGCTTTGCAGTTAATGCAACTTCTACTATTTTTTTCCTTATTTCAATTGTGAAAAATCTAATACCTTTACAACAATTTGAAAAGGGCTTACACAGAGCAAAATCCCCGTTTAATCTCAGCATATTAAGAAAATTTTTTTTAACAATACATTTAAAGTGCTATTTTCCCAAAACACTTTTTTCTTTCAAGATAACCAAAGCTCTAAAAGTGTTGAAAGGAACTATGATTTAGAGTCCTATCTTCACTTGTGGTTTAAGAATCCTGGCACTTTAACAGGAAGAAACAGCTAGTTTATGTGTGGCCTAAGGTACACTGTAGCAGTAAATAATTCAGTATAGGAAAAGGTGTTCCAGTCACCACAGTTACAAACCCAAAACAATGAGAACCACAGACCAAAACCACTTAAAGATAGGAGACAAAAATGTTTGCAGATACTTGGCCTTGTCAAATTTCTACCTCTGACATTTGTGGTTTAGGCACCCATTGCTTTCACCCTGTGCACCCCAGAGACTACAGCAGACTCCTTGGCACTACATGGGAGAGCTAAAAAGCCCTTCCAAGAAAAGAGGGTAAAATGAGACAGCTTTGGCTAAACCAAGAGCTGATTCCAACTGATGCTGGCTTTAGCTGTATAAGCCCACTGTTGGGTGGAAAGGTTTGCAGGCTTCTGCAGCGTGCACAAATTATCTGATTACTAATCCTGGATATTATTGATATGACAGAATTTTCAATTTTCTTCATCAATTTTCTATTAAAACAAAGTGAACCAAAAAAAAAAAAAAAGAAAAAAGGATCAGAACAGCTTGAACATGGCATATCGAAACTCTTGCCACTTACAAAAATGACATTTTATAGGCTGGAAGGAAAGGAGTAAGAGAAAAAGAGAAAAGAAGTAATGCATGGCCCTCACACCTTTTTTTTTAAATTAAGTGAGCCAATATACAGGAAACAGTGATACAGCATAGTTGTACTGAAGGTTAAAAATACTTTTATACATTGTTTATAATACCAAACACACAGGTGACAAACAGCAGCAGTTTTATGCTTTGTGCTTTGACATTCTCAAGAAGTGTAGAGACCTAAAGGAAAAAAAGCAAATTTAGACTGTGAGATTGAATGTAGGCTTTCTGAAGAGGAAGAAAAATGTTCAATATATCCTAGCCCTTCAGGGGACATACCTATCAAGACACTGGGAAAGCATCTGGGAACAACATGTATGCTCCTGAAGGGATGTGCAAGACCTCAAGGATTAGGGGATGCAGCTATCCCACAACTACCAACGAACAGGAATTCACTGAGAATTAATGTAGAGAAGTGCATTAGCTGTGTGAGAGGATGAGTAATGCACAGGGAGAGCACAGCTGTCTAGGCCCATTTCAGGAGGGTGACAGAAAGAATTCTACAGGAGTATAACTCTCTGTGTGATGGGACACTGCCTGGGAACTGCTGACTGCAGCACTGGCACTTTAAACTCCACGTTTTTATCAGCATGGAGTGTGGGATGGTGGGATCAAAGCATGTCATCAGATTCAAATCCACTAAGATGGCTTTGCAGGAGGCAGGAAAACAAGATCCAGTTTTGAAACTGTCTTCTCATGTAATTTTTTTTTTTTGTGGTTTTATTTCCTTGTTTGTTTGTTGGGTTTTGTTAGTTGGTTAGTAACTTACTTGAAATAATCCTGAGTGTAAGCATTTCCTGCTCCTACAGGAGTTAAAATGAACTGAAGCACTATTTGCAGAGAGCACACCATGCTGAGTTTGCTGCCCTTTGAGGTGGGGACTTTGTACCCTTCTCATCCATCTCAAATAGAGCTACAGTTTATTTCTTTGTGATTGTTTGCAGTGGTAATAAAATTTGGGCTATTTGCTTTACTGTGCAATACCACAAGATAGTTTTGCTCATGACAGTCTATATTTACACACCTTGTGTTTGCTCAGCACTGTAAAGCAACAACATGAAAACAAGCAGCTACAGGATTTATGACACTCTCCAGGTGACAAAAGTCAATCAGCTTTTGGCCTGCTGCCATAACAGAACTGGTTATGGCCAGAAAGAGCCACCCCAGTGTGAGACTTGTCATCACAGTGTGGTGATTAATGATCCACTTCCATGTGTGGTGCACAGTGAAGACCACAGGAGATGTCAGTGGAAAAACAGAAGAGTGCACAGAAGTTTTAATGTTGGAAAGCATAACAAACTGGGTGGACTTTTTTAGTTACTTTGTCTCACTCCTTTCTGATTCAAAGTACAAGTGCATTATCCAAGCAAATAAATAAGCTCCAAAAATGCATATAATAAAGCATCATAGTCAAAAGGATGATGATGGGAAATCTCTTTCTCTGTTAACTGGAAATGCCAATACATAACTAATAATGCAACCTGATTCAATTTTATTAAAATAGAGAATATGCTTAGTTTAGTTGTCTTCTATGTTATATGATGCAGTAAAAAGTTTTAAAAATGTGTGTATATAATCCTCCACCCAAACCCTTTCAATAAACAAAAACCTTTCCTATAAAACCTTTCTGCAATGAAATAGCCATAGTTTGGGAAGTTAAAAAAACAATCTTACTAAAACGTTTAAAAATCATCAAAAATCCTCATAACTTGTGAATTCTATTTAATAAACTGTTGTTGCCCTCTAGTGTTCAAACAGCTTGTAAAGGCCCCTCCAGAAAGATCCAGACTGGTCAGCTACCAGTTAATTCCCTGTTAGTTCTTAATACAACATGACAAATGGATGGGAAAAATAATTTTTTAAAAGTGTTTCAGTACACCTGCCCAATGCCTTGTTTTCTTTACTGGATCATAAAAGATCTATCATGTAATGACTTCTAATGTTATTTGTTTTACTCCAATGTTGTGAAAGGCCACTGAGGTCAGCATCCTCACCAAATGAGGCGTGGTGCTTGAGCACCTCTCAGCTTTACCTCTGCCAGTCACTGTGCTGGGTGTGCACTGCTGACTGGGCTGCAGGGCAGCTCCTAATGACATGGGCCACACTGAGGAACCAGAGAGTGCTGTGGGTTGGAAGGGATCTTAAGGATCAGCTCATTCCAACCCTTGGCCATGGGCAGGGACACCTTCCACTATCCCAGGTTGCTCCAAGCCCTGTCCAACCTGGCCTTGGGCACTTCCAGGGATGGGGCAGCCCCAGCTTCTCTGGGCAACCTATGCCAGGCCCTCACCACCCTCACAGGGAACAATTTCTTCTCAGTATCTAATCTAAACCTTCTCTCTTTAATTTAAAGCTATTCCCCCTTGTCCCATCACTGCATGTCCTTGTAAAATGCCCCTCTCCAGATGAATGCATGACCTGTGCTCTGAACAACCCTGAGATACATCTGCTGGTTTCTCTTGAATATTTTGCTACTGTACTGTAACCATATCAATTAATACCAACCATCTTTCCCTCCAACAAATTATTTATTGCAGCAGAAATGCACAGTGAGCATTCAGGGATTGTTCCCAGCACCTCTCCTGCTGTGATAACACCAGCAACATAGAAAGTTTCTCATGAAGGTTGCAGTTCTTATGAGAGAAAATTATGGTGAACCTCAGATCTGCATCTGCATTTTTACAGCTAGGACTAGTACTTATCATTCTGTGAACTCATTTCCCAAAAATGGTCCTCCTTGACCAGAAACCTCTGAAAATAGCTATTAAATAAAAAACAAAAGAAGAGAAAATTAAGTTAAAGCACAGTCAAAAAAACAAGCTGATAAATTTGAGGTACATTTCTAAATTTGAGGTACATTTCTTCAGTAATTTCGTTCACTTTTAAGAGGTTATCCAGACTACTTTTCTTTTAACCATTGTCAGACTTAAACAATGTAGCAGACCAGCTGTTTTTATATATATAAAGCAATCTGCAGCTTCCATATAGTAAGAATTCAAGTTCTTGACACAAGGAACACTGACTTTTCTTTGATCTCTGAATAACGGAATTTTCAGAGAATTTTCTGCATTTAGTTATTTAGAGCTTTCAGAAAACTTGCCTTGAGGCCATATTTTGGATCACACCTGCTTCCCACCACACTAAGCTCGACAGATCTAAGAAAGCCTTGGATGTGAGTCAAATTTCATATTTTGTAATAGAATTGTTTCCTTGCATTTGTGAGGCACCCTTCCTTCTCTGCTGTGACATTTGCTGTTGATCATGCCACCTGACATGAACACTTTGAAATCCAGCCTTTCATTCTAAAACCAGGTTTAGACTGAGTGCACATGAAGGGAAATTTAAATAACATGAACTGGAAGCTGTGTGGCAGTAGATGCTCCCACTTACTCTCCCTGCTGAAGGGTCAGGAAAACATAAAACCATAGAGTTGTTTAGGTTGGAAAAAAACTCGAATATCAAGATAACTGTTACTAAGCAGCCATGCTTATTACCAGCCACATGAAGGGGATGCTGGAAGTGAAGAGGGTGTGCTTTGAGAGCACTCACATTTGCAGTATGTAGTTTTAAGGATACCTGTGATGTATGCAGAAGAACTTTAGAGATATGTATATAACTGTCAACTATATTTTGATAAGGAAAATTAAATTATGTCATATGTAATATAATTTTTTCCTGTTTGTACCTAAAACCATTTGGATGCAAAGCTCTATTACTAAGTATTCCTTTAAAGCTGCAAATAGGGTAAATAGGATTGCACCAGCATTTGGTGCAAATAGCACTGAAAACACCCATGTGCTGCACAGGTACTCAATTTATTAGGTGTACTTCAATTTCACTAATCTTGTCACAGTACAGATTAAGCTCATGAAATGCTTTTTCTCCTTAAATATAAGACCTTCTTAGCTTAAGTTGGATTTAGATGTTTACTCTCAGGATTTAGGAATAAATCAAAAATGACAGACATTATAGTTCAGCACAGACAGAGCATTCCTTCTCACCACCAAACCCATCTCCTGTCTCCTGCTTTCCCATTAGAGCCCAAAAAAGGAATCCATCCTCTTCTGAGATTTCAATATCTACTGTTCCATTTCAGAGTTCTCCTCTCAAAAGTGAGAGATGCCCCCCAAAATTTTTTTCCCTCTCCCAATCAGACATCAGAATAAATTCCATTGATCAAATAATCCAGCCTGGTGTAATGCCTCTTCTGAAGAGATTCATGGATTTTCTTCCCCGTCAGCACAATAACTAGCAACAAGAACATCACCCCAAAAAACAAAGCTGCTACAAGGCTACTCTTTTCCCCCAGCTGAAAGACAGCTTTCCCTCTCAGAACATCTTCTGACAGGGAGCTCTCAGAGTCAGATGGCTCATAACCCTGAAGGTCATTTTGGGAAGATGTGGGAGAATCGCTGGACAGAATGAAACCTGGAAAAGAGAGGAGGGTCACATAGCTGGTATCACTGGAATTGACAACTGTTGGCTCAGGAGCCATGGCTGGAGTCCTTAGCCCTGACAGGGCAGTAGCAGATCCAGAATTTGTGGTCACCTGCACAGTTGCAGAAGGAGAAGCAGAATTTGTGGGCTTGGAAAGAGGGACATGAGTAGCAGTGATGCTGGTGGCAGGGACAGCAGGTTTAGCTGCAGTGGCTGCAGCAGGTGGAGAGGCAGCTGTGGTTGGTTTGGCAGCACCAGGATGCAGAGAGGTTGTAAGAGACTCCAGCTGGGCTGTGCCTGTTGGCAGAGCAGCAAGAGAAGCACTGCTGGTTTCAGGGACACCTGCCCGAGCAGTGGTGAGGATGGAAGCAGTGGGGTTTCCAACTGGAGCAGCAGAAGGAGTGCTTGGTGGCACTTTAATTACCTGCTGCCTTGAGATGGGGTCTAAGCCCTCAGATTCTTTTGCTCTTTGAGATTCAGGAGCAACTGTATGAAGTTCCATGTTGTCCAAATGCTTGCCTATGTGGTTCAGCAGTTCAGATGCCTGATGAAAGACAGACTGCTCCAAACTGGCAGTGTAATTCTGATGGATGTCCTGACTGTGAGAAATAAAGGTTTCAGCATCCGAAGGCAAAGAATGCTCATTTGAAGAAAAGTTCTCAGTTTTGATGGATTTATCTTCTGGAAACAGAAATACTTGTATTTAATTATTAAATCTACTTTTGACTAATGTAGGCATACTCTATTTGTATTTCTTAGAAATATTTATGTAAGGGGGCTCTAAGAGATAATGACTAATGAAACTTCCTTTCTTTAAAATATGCACAGTGGCATTTAAATTCTATGTTATAAAAGCTGTCAGCCTCAAGCCTACTCACATAACAGTGTTCTGTGCAGAAACACCATACAAATAATAATCCTAAAAGCTACCTGATTTTACAGTATTTTTTCTACAGTATTTACCTCAGGTACTTAGGTAGGTACTCACAGGTATTATAGAAGGTATTTGGCTGAGTAATTGTCAATTCATATTATATATATAATTTTATAATTTTATTTATAAAAATATAGAAATATATATAATATATTCATGATAACCATTCAGCTGCTGCACAGAATATTTAAAGGGGAACGTGCTCTCACGTAGTTCTGACTCTCACTCATCTCTTTTTAATATTGAAACAAAAAGGTTTGTTAAATGCACTGGAATTGAAATAAATAAAGTATCTTTCCCCTTTTCAGCTTGGTTTTCAGTGTAACCACATACAGCTTCTCATATGAAAGAACAAAGTTTGATACATTTGTTGCTACCGACACTGCTCAGGTGCTCCCTTTGAAAACTTACCAGGAACATTAAACAAACTAGCATAATCTTTCTGCAATTAAACGTTCACAGAAGATCAAGTATCCAAAAAGAAAAAGAAGTGTTAAATGCAATCACGTTGTTCACTCAGCATTGCATTACAAAGAAGTGTTAAATGCAATCACGTTGTTCACTCAGCATTGCATTACATGCCGAACAAAAGCACCAGCATGATTGCATTTCTTGTTTCTTTGTTTGAAATCCCGAAGTTCTTCTAGGGGACAAAGAGCTGGAGGGAAATGTAATTTGAGTAATAATTTTACAGAAATGCAGTTCATTTGTTGCACATTGCTTTTGCACGATTCCTGTGAGACTGTGCTTGCACAAAAATACTTGGTAACGTTACGTGAGTAATATCATACTGTTGCTCCTTGCATAGTTCCTCTTGGAAAAGTTCTCTTTTTCAGCAAAAGTTTGGTCTCTCAAGCAGCCATGCAGAAACCACCTTGGCAGGACATTCCAATTATCAGTTTCTTATCTGAGCTGTTCAAACAGGTCTGGTGCAAGTCAATGTCAATCAACAGGTAGGCCTTGCTGTTAAAAAAAAACAGCACAGGCCAGAGAGCAAGAAATTCCTGAGTGTGCAGCCCACATGCCATAAAGGTCTGAGTTTAGAAAGTTTGTTTTTGCACTTCAGGTTCCCTAACTGAATGCAGAAAATAATGATTATTTATTATTATTGCAAATTATTCATCAGTGTAGCATGGGTCCTTTAAATACACAGCTGGCTACAAGGGTGTGGTATTTTCATTGGTTTTTGTGATATTTCTCAGTATTATGTATAGGAAATTTTCCTTCCTGACTATATCTAGATGGAAGCAGCTTCTTTTTGTTTTAAGCAAGGGCAAATTATGAGAATTTCTGAATCTAACGTGAAGGAATATTATAAAGGTTGGGACATTAATCCAAGCTGGAATCTGGGCCCACAAAGCAGCTCACTACACACCTGCCCATCCATCCTCCACAACGAAAAAGAGCAGTATTTTTAAATCATAAAGCTTGGCTTAGAACACTTTACTAAAAATATGACCCCCCCAAACAGTTCCTGGTCACTACTGAAAGTTCACAGGTGCAAAAGTAATTTTGCAGTGTGGTGTAGGGGCTGATGGCTCTCACTATGATTTACCTGTAGTTATCTTGTAGGTCACAAGTCCTGTTGCAGGTTTCATTGGACAAGCCTCAGTGCTAGGACAGTAAAACAAGTAGCAGTTTGGATGTGTACTTGTTCTTGCAGCATAAAAAATAATCAAATTACACTTCTTGTCTCCTGCAAAACAAAGTAAATACCTGTTTCAGCAGTAGGAACTTTTATAGCAGTATGGTAATGAGATCCAGTTTGTTAACTTTTGCTCATGTGAGTAAGAGGAAAACTACTAACACATAACATTCCTACCGGAAAAAACCGCCAAGGACTGCAGAAGAATGGCCCAGGGCCAAAATATGAAAGGTCACACCTTCCTTTTCCTGTACAAATAAAGTTGGGGAAATTATGAGTCTAAGCTCTCATCCTCCCCTCACGCATACCACACTGGCATCACTTTATACAACAATTGCTCGCTTACAAATCCTGATAAATCTGAAAACCTCCTCGATATACTCATGGGAAAAAAAATTATTTAGACATTTTTCCTTATTACATCCCAGGAATCGCTTGGCTAGTTGCTGGTTCAGGGAGTCACCTTCACCACTGCCATTTCTACTTGCTTCTTTGCCTCCTACTGCTCCAAGAGCTTGAATCAAACCAGCTCTCTCAGAGGAGGGTGAGCATTCTCATTTTTGGCTAAAATTAAATACAGTGCAAAACGTCAGCTACTTTTAATGCATCTACTAAACACAGCTTATGCACCTTCGGGGTTGGGGATCTGGAAGATTTTGACGCCTAAAACTAACGCTGTTTCTGTGATGCAACTATTTTCCTGAACACTTTAAGGAAAGTCTTGCGTTAAGTTTTAACATCCACTGGCAAAAAGAAGGTAGCAGCTGCAAGCTGGAACTAAGCGCAGCCTGAATGAGAGGGTAAATTCCGTGCTGAATAGGGAGAACACCGGCAGCTGACCATCCCGCGAGCCCAAACTCCAGAATTATCCTGCCAGGCGGTGGCGGAGAAGGAGGCCGAGGTTACCTGAGAGCCGGTGCCCCGAGCAGCAGGCGCGGACACACGCACCCGCGCCGGGGACGCGCAGCGGCTCCGCGCCCCGGACGCCGCGGGGCAGGGACAGGTGTACATCGATGATGGAATTCTCCATCTTCTCCGCCGAGCACTCCTGGCTCAGCGCCGGCCCGGCCATCAGGCAGGCGATCACCAGCAGGCGAACCGGCCAGCGGCTGCCCCCGCGGGACATGGTGACCCGGGCCGGTCCCCGGGGGCTCCTCCGGGATCGGCGCCGAGAGGGCTCCGCTGATCCCGGGGCGGGAACGCGTTCCTGGGGCACCTCCGGGCTACCCCTGCCCGCAGCGCGGGGTCGGGAAGGCAGCGGCGGAGCCTGGCCCGGCTCGGGGGAACCGCGGCTGTCCCGGCACGTCCGGGAGGAGGGGCCGGGGGAGGCGGGCCCGGGATGCCTGGTGCCCTTCTTCTCCTGCCTGCCTGCCCTCCTCCTCCTGGAATTCCTGCTTACCCACCTACCTACCTGCCTTCCTCCTGCCTTCCAGCCTGCCCTCCTCCTCTCTTGCTTCCTTCTCACCTGGAATTCCTGCTTACCTGCCTACCTGCCTTCCTCCTGCCTTCCAGCCTGCTCTCCTCCTCTCTTGCTTCTTTCTCCCCTGGAATTCCTGCTTACCTGCCTACCTGCCTTCCTCCTGCCTTCCAGCCTGCCCTCTTCCTCTCTTGCTTCCTTCTCACCTGGAATTCCTGCTTACCTGCCTACCTGCCTTCCTTCTGCCTTCCAGCCTGTCTGTCCTCCAGCCTGCCCTCCTCCTCTCTTGCTTCTTTCTCACCTGGAATTCCTGCTTACCTTCCTATCTGTCTTTCTCCTGCCTTCCAGCCTGCCCTCCTCCTCTCCTGCTTCCTTCTTGCTGCCCACCATTCTTCTGTCCCATTCCTGCCTTTTCTCCTGCCTTTTCCCTTGCTTCCCCCCTCCTGCTCTCTTCCTCCTGCCTGACCTTCTCCTGCCTTCCTTCCGCCCTCCTCCTCTTGCCTGCCTAGCGGGGCTGCAACCACTCGCCGGCACCGAGGGTCCTCCCTGAGCGTCAGACACAAGGCAAAACCACCTAGAGAAGCTCTTGGTGGTCAGGCTGAAACGGCTTTACCCACAGTCAGACTTTTCCTCCACCTGAGAACTGGTTTTGGGAGATGTAATGAAAGAGATTAATATGCATATCCTGGACTAAACGGATGTGGACGTATTTCTGTGTGGACTCCTTGCTACCTGAGTAATCCTGTTCAAATCATAAGCAAGCACAAGGTGTTTGTGGAATGGGAAAAAAAGTGAACAAGAAAGCCTGTCTACTGGAACCCTGACTGGTGTCTTGGCCATTCTTCTGTCAGCTGTCTCAGTGCAATTGCTTGCTTAAGTCATGGTTTTGCTCGGAAAATTTTCATTTCCTCTTTTTAGTTTTTTTTCCTTAATATTTTGGGGTAGTGTTTAGAAGCAAAAGTAGACCAAAGGAGTGCAAAGAATAAAAGGATTATAAGACAGATTCCTTCTTTTTCAGGAAAGAGACCATTTTCTTTTCAGACATGTGAATTACCTGAAGAGATCCCAAAGGGCAGGTTAGTTTATGTATGGTAATAGTTAGATGCCAAGGCATGGGTGGCTGTCTTGTTTTTCATGCCCAGTCAGTCCCCTTTGTCAGTACTGTTGGGTTTTGGCTTTTATTTGGACATGAGTGTTGTAAGAGACTGAGCCCACCATCTTATTTTGCATCACATGGCCATCTTGGGGCAATTAATAAATGTTTGTTTGTGATTCTCACAGTCTTGGTGGGATGGTTTCTTCTAAAATTTTCAGCTGCACTTGTTTAAGAAAATATTCCTTTCTATGTAAACTGGTGACATTATTTTCACTGCTAAAAGAAAAAGTCGCAAGAGAATCTGAACATTAAGGTGTTGCCTGCTAACTGCATCACCCAGTGAATAAACAGAAGAATGAATACTAAAGGCAAGCACAGGTATTACCCCTGCTATGTATTAAACAAAGTTGCAGCTTCTACCTGCCTTTGCTTAAAGTAGAGGTGGTGGAAGAGGCCAAGCAGAAAGAAGCTGAAAAATAAGGCTAAAGGTCTGGCTGAGGTGGTCAGAACAGCTGCTGAAACTGGTTTTTCACCTGAACTGTTGGGATGGTGAATGTGAGAATATGCACAGAGACTGCTGGGGTCAGACAGGCATAGATGACTGTGGGGAAATGAGAAGGGTTGATGTCATCTATCATATAAGCAGGGCAGAAGAGATACTGGGGATGACATGACTGCCCCAGTCCAGCCACCGTGGCAAATTTCTGCTCTTCCTGGTGGGGAAGTTACATATCACTCCTAATATTATTTCTTTTGCTACCTTTAATCAAGGCACCTTGATATCGTGCACTGTTTTATGTTATGCTGTAATCTACCCCTAGTTGTTTTAGTTTTATACTGTGTAGTAAGTAATTCTGATTAAGGTATTTTGGCTGTTTATCACTTGTCTGCTCAGTAAATAATTCTTATAAATTTTTTTTTCTTATAATTTTTATAAACAGACCTGATCGGCCATCACTAGAACTTGCAGGCCAGAGTTGAGTCCTTACATTTAAACAGTTGCCAAAATCTGAGCTAGGGCAGAACTTATCTCAAGCTGCCGCTCCTCTCATGGCACTCTTCTTATAGGAGAGGTGCTCCAGACCCACATCATCCTTGTGGCCTCTGCTAGACCCTCTCCTCACCACAAACTGGGAAATGAGCTCTCTCACCTGAGAATACCACACTCACCCAGTTTATTAGGTTAGAAAGCTGACATTACTTTATTCAGCACACAGGTACATGGGTATTGCCTCGCCAAACATATTAATCAGTTATCAAAACTTTTGACTATTTATACATTTTGGTAAATAAAGGAATTAGTATTCCTTGGTTACTGGTAATGTAGTTCTCTAATTGATTAGTATTCTATCTTCTATTAGTTAATGATTCACTTGCTTTTCATGTTAATTAGTCCACATTCTCAGTTTTTCTCTTCTTTTGGGTCAAGGAGTTTCTTGGGTCAGTGGCCTGTGATCAGTGGTTGGAGATCCCCCTACCAGAATTACCTTTTCCCAATTGGAGCTGATTTCAGCAGAAATACTGAGCATCCCTGGCCAGGCCAGGGAGGGATTTTCCTGCTCTGCTTCAGGCTGGGGCAGCCTCAGCTCGAATATTGTGTGAAGTTTTGGGTGCCACAATATCGGAGAGACATTAAACTATTAGAGAGTGTCCAAAGGAGGGCATGAGGATGGTGAAGGGCCTTGAGGGGAAGCGTGTGAGGAGCAGCTGAGAGCATTTGGAAGCTGAGGGCAGACATGGCTTCTGCTGAGGGGAGAGGAGGGGCAGGCCCTGAGCTCTGCTCTCTGGGACCAGGGACAGGAGCCAGGGAACGGCTGGAGCTGGGTCAGGGGAGGGTCAGGCTGGAGATCAGGGAAAGGTTCTTCCCCCAGAGGGTGTCGGGCACTGCCCAGGCTCCCCAGGGAATGGTCACGGCCCCAAGGCTGCCAGAGCCCCGGGCGTGTTTGGACACCGCTCCCAGGGATGCACAGGGTGGGATTGTTGGGGTGTCTGGGGAGGGATTGTTGATTGTGCAGGGCCAGAGGCTGGACTCGATAAACCGTGTGGATCCCTCTCAGGATATTCGGTCACAGGCTCCTTTTTAAAGAAATATAACTTGTCCGGCAACACCGAGGAGCACAGAAGGGGACACAGCAATACAAATATTGTCCTCACTAGGGCCGAGCAGGGAGGACGAGCATCCTCCCATGCCTCACAGACCGGCGCTGCTCTGCCGCTCTGCCGCCCCCGAGGCCCCGGGCCGCCGGTTCTGGCGGGGCAGAGCCGGGCAGAGCCGAGCAGCCCCGGCCCCGAGCGGGGCCCCGCCCGCCGGGCGGAGCCGCCTGACCCGGCGCAGCCGGAACCCCGTGGGCGGCGGCGGCGGCTCCCGCGCTGCGGCGGGCGGGGGACGGAGGCAGCGCCATGGGCGCGGAGCAGAGCGCCGAGGCCGAGAGCCGCCCGGGCGAGCCCGGCGCCGCAGGTCGGTGCCTGGCGGGGAGCGAGGGCTGTGCCGGCACTGTGGCTGTGGAGAAGGGCACGGCTGTTTCCTTGGGAGGGACGGCGGCTGTGGAGAAGGGAAGGGCTTGCAGAAGGGAAGGGCTGTTGCTGCGGGAGGCAGCGGCAGCGCGGCCCGGCCCTTCCTGTGACGGCGCGGGGGCACCGCCCGGGCCGGGGGAGCCGAGCCGGGGATGGGCAGCGCCCCGGGCGCCGTGCGGAGCTGGCGGGGCTGTCCGTGGTGCAGGTGTTCGGAATCAGCTGTTTCCCCGTGGGGAGAGGGAAAGGAGCTTAGAGCCCTTCAGTGATCTCGGCGATACGCTATAAAAAGCGTGCCTGTGCAATGTTAAATAGAGCAGTATTCGCATAGGGTTGGGTTCTGGTGTAATCTGCTTGTAAAGTTGGTTATTCCCTCTCCATCCAATATCCAGCATCTCCGTTGCCAGCCAAGCAACGAGCAAAAATGGACGACATTGTGGTCGTAGCCCCAGGAACACAATCCTCACGGAATGTCAGCAATGATCCAGATGTCATAAAACTGCAGGAAATTCCAACTTTCCAGCCCCTTTTGAAAGGTAAGTGATTGTTCTTCCTCTGTTTTTAAATGCCTTCTTTTTTGTACCTAACGGCATTTATGTATCCTGAGGTTTCTACTGAAGTTCATATTTCTGTCTCTGTTTTTCACTTCCCCTCTTATTTTAAACCTTACTCTCTTTTGTTATGCCATAATTAATCCCAGCCTTCTAAACAGTGGGTGAACTAGTTTAGAGGTGTGCTGGTAATGTTCTCTGCAGTGGAAACATCTACTGTGGAGACAAAACAGCTCCAAGCATACCAGCTTGCCCTGTACCACTGGTTGATGAGAGATGCTGTGTTATGTTCTAATATATAATAGATGACATTATATATAATCCTGTTTTGCTCTAGTTTTTTAAAAACAGATTGTGTGTTACTCTCAGAGTCATAGCTACCTGTGTGTGCATTCAGCTGCTTGAAATCAAGGTACCTTGTGGGAGTTTTCAACACAGAGCAGGTTTTATTCTTGTTTTTTGTAGTGGGGTAGATGGGCTGAGACTTTTCTTTGTTTCTTTTCCTCCCACTCTTTTTTTTTTTTTTTTACTTTCATCCCTTGCACTCATTC